TCCTTTTCCTTAAATAATGAAAGAATTGGACAGTATGTTATAAAATTAGATATACCAAACAAATTTATACTTCCCTCTTTTCTGTCACGGTCAGAGCTCTGACCTTAACTTATTTTTGAGATCAATAGCAACTTATGTACATAATTACAGACGTAGCACAGACGCCTAGAATACACCATTGTAGCTGTTAGCTTTTTCAGTTACTCATTTTAAATGATTATTCGTTTGTTTTGTGCTTCTCCAAGCCAAACTCATTTATTTTTTTTTTTTCACTATCTCCACCAAACGTAAAATTAGAACGTTTTAGCTACAGAAATCGCTAATCCTTCAAAGTCGGTCTCAGCTTCTTCGGTCTTAGGACAGCTTCAACGAAAACGTTGGTCTCGGCATAGCTGATTTCACCCGGAATTTTTCGTTTGCTTTTTTTTGGAGGGGTTGTTTGGTTTTGCTTAAAACAACCCTGTGGACCACAAAGTTAGAAGGGGAGGGGGCAGAATGAGTCAATTCTCTAGAAGCTCAGGAAAATCCAGGCACCTAGAAATGTGTTTTGTTGTTTCAACTGAATAAAAATACACATGCACTCTAAGATATTGGACAAGATGTGACTCCAGCTGCTGAGCACGGCGCAAACCCACGACCTCCGAGTGCTGGATGTTGGGGGAAGGGAGAGGACTCCGCGGGCACCACGCGGTCAGCCCAAGGGGCGGGCCCCACCGCACACGCAGAACTATTTTCGACTCTTCCTTAGTTACCTCCCCCTTTCCTCCTAGGGGGTTGGCGCTGGGGGCTCACAGTTAAAGGGCTGGAAAAATGAGAACACCAAGAGGAGAAGCCCAACCTCACCAATGAGAGGGAGCAAAGGGTTATTTTCGCGCCACAAAAGATGGAAATCTAGGGGCGGCTCGGGGGCCAATGGATGGAAACCAGCAAACGGCTCTGGTGGAGGCGGCCTGCAGTGATAGGCTCCTTCGGTCCACCAATCGGGTGAGAGGAGCAACCCCCGCCCCCTCCCCAGCTAGGGGCGGTGTCTCTGCACGCGGGTTGCTCAACTTGGTCTGGGCAAGTCGGCCCGGCGCAGCGCGAAACCCCGCCCCGGGGCCGCGTTTGCGCGCCCTGGGCGCCCCTCTCGCCTCGCCGCGCCGCCCCGCCCCGCCCGTGGCAGCGGCGCAGGATTCAGCGAGGGCTCTTAGTGTTCTTTCTCCGTGGGTACCGAGCATCCCGCAGCGCCTGGGAGGCCCTCGCACACTCGGAACAGGCCGGAAGTGCCGGAGGGTCGCCAATCGCACGCTGTCTGGTCTGCCCTGGCAGCCCGCGGGCGGGCGCAGGAGGACTTCAGGTGGGGTCGTGCCGCGCGGGGGGCGACGGAGGCTCCCCAGGCCCTCACGTCTAATCCGTCCACGCTGCTGCACGCGAGGAGACAGGACCCGAGAAGGCAGAAAGCTCTGGTCCCAGTGCAGGGCCAGGGCGGCGCAGTGGTCGAGGGCCTCCGAGGCTAGCCGGCGGCCGACGAAGGATCTTCCACTGTGAGCTGCAAGGATCCCGCCCCTCTTTCTCCGGGAAGGGGAAAAGGAAACAACCCCATCTTCCATCTCCCGGGGCACCATTTTTTTATTTAAACAAAAAATAACTGAAGGCAGATTCCGAAGAGAGGGCAGAGCCAGGTTACTACTTATCACGCATCTGGTTTCAACAGATCCGAGTCCCGGAGCGCTGGTTGAAGGAGCAAGAGTATGTTAAAAAATGCCTCCTAGGAGGCCCAGGCGACGTGGAGCCCACCCTAGTTACGGACTTCGGCCCTCGGCTCGGCCCGGAGGCAGCGGGAGTCCTCTACCTGCTCAGCCTTCGTTCATTACCTGTGGATACAGCCACGGTAATCGACCTTCTAGACATTATTTTTCCGCTTTAATATTACACTGACCAATAAGAAACATTTTTATTGCACTCAGGTCAGCAGATGAGGAGGTGCAGCTGTCCAAAGAGTAAACAGGCTGCAGTTGGAAAGACTCAGCCGATCAGAGCAGATACAATGGATGGGAGTCCTTCCTGGAATTATTAAATAGGACCTACGACTGTCTCAGGAAGAATTTGGAGTAGCCCATATACATGGTTAATTTCTTGTGTGAGACTCATCAAAAGACTGGAGTCAGATTGACTATATTTATTCTTGAAAACCCATCAAAGATATTTTTGCACTTGAAATGCCAATAAAAAACAATTACCCGTGCTCTTTTTACTCGGCCATTAAATATATACTTATCCCTCAGTGCCTGGAAGATTCGAAGTGAAGTGGACTGTATCCACCTCCCTTTTTGATGTCTGAGCTTGTATAACTCATGTATGTTTTTAAGGTCCTAGATGGAGTATCCAGTTTGTTACAATAATACACAGATTAAGTTCACAAGAGGCTCAGGAACATATTTCATCAAAGCAGCACACACTGTTTTAAGTTCCAGCTGTTAGACTTGTTTGATAGTGACAGACAAGTGTGAGCTAATGTTTATGGAAAATAAACAATTTTTCCCATACTTTGGAAGTAGATATTTCCTTAGGTCTGTTTTAATATGAGCAAATACAGCCAGAAATCCAAAAGGCACCATTCAATTGATTTAAAAAACATACCACACAAAATTTATTCTTAATGAGAAATTACTAAAAATCAAATGATCAACAGGCTAGTTTATAATAAAGAGGTCTTTAGAAAAGCAAGCAATACTAAATAAAAAGCACATTTTTTTCAAATAGCTTTTGATCACATGCAACAGGTTCATGAGAAACAATTTTTGATATTTACATTTTGAACACCCCAAGTCATAAAGGAAGAATATCTTTTTTCTTTTTTTGAACCAAGGTTTTCTTATTAAAAACATGAAAAGGAAAAATAAGTAAACTCTTGAAAAGTTAAACCTACTGTTTGGGGGGGAAATGTTAAACCTAGCTATAAACAGAATTTCAACCATCAAAATGGTTTTTTAAGCTACAGCTCCATAACACAGTTCTAAAGTATTATACAAAAACATGTTTGTCTCCTCTATCATAAAGTAAAAACATTTTACTGAGTTAAATGTGAAGGAAAATATCGTTAAAGTGAAGTTTACATTTAAAAAATTTGGATTTCCTTGGCAGGGGAAAGAAAAGAACAGTTGCATTTAAAATGGATGATCTGATACCTTCTGGTTCCTTAACACAAAATTATAAAATAGTTTACATTAAAAGAAAAAAACTAAATACTTTTCATACTATGCAATGATTCCCACATGCTTAAATAATCTGCCATTCATCTTTTAATTGGAATATACACTTTTAAATGCCATATACGGTTTGACAAGGAAAATTGTATCACTTGCCATGATTGCTTAAGATGTTTTAGTGTAAATCACAATATTTTCTCTACTATACAAAACATTTTTCTACTAGTAAGAGTAGCAAGCCATTAATGAGGTTTGTATTTATTTCCACGCTATACAGAATTTCATTCACTTGTTTCAGTATTTTATATCTTTTCCATGGAATACATGTTGAACAGATACCACAAGTATCTGGTGCACACGAAGCCTGTGAATGGAGTACAAATCATTAAACGACAGTCGGAGATTTCCACCAGAACCCCAGCCCTGCGCTCATTTCCGTATTCCTCGTCTCCAGCTCATTTTGTTGGCCCAGGAAAGCTCCACTGGGCCCGGACCCTCCCCCAACACCCACCATTGTACTCGTTACACACAAGGGAAATTAATGGTTCTCATGGCCAAATGCGGGCAGAAAAGAAGCAGAAAGAGACTCGAAGAATTTTCGAGTGCGAATACTACCTAGGGGTAACGCTGAGTGATCTTCCTGTTTTTGAGTCCCAAGTTCAACAAACTAAAATTATTTAAATGAAAGTACCAGCCTTCCCCACTCCTCCTCCTCCTCTGGAAACTACAGGAAGAAATGGTTTCCGTTTAAATACCGACTTTCCCCACTCAGCCTTCTCTTCTCCGGCCTCCGAGGCCCCGGGACGCCCCCATCCCCACCCCACAAACCTCCGCCCCTGGGCTCCCCTCCCCCACCGGTGGCCAAGCCCGCCCCCGGCCTCATTTATCCCAGAGCCTTTTCTGAAGCGCGCAACCAATGGCAAGCGCGAAGCCCAGAGCCACCGCGAGCGCAGGCGGAGGAGGTGTCGCCCAGACACCCGCCCAGGACGCCGCGAGCTCCCATCCCCCACCGCCCAGGCTTGGGGCCGCCCCACTTCCCCGGTGCCCGGCCGGTGAAGGGTGCAGGGGTGGGGCGCGTCTGCTGGCCCCTCCCGCCCCACTCCCTCGCCGCGTTTCCGCCCCTGCTGGAGCTGGAAACGTGCTCGCGCCTCTGCCGAGGTTACACTTCTCGTGTCACCCGAGCCACCAGCCGAGTGGGATAGTGACTCTTCGGTTTTGTTCATTATCTATTGTAAGGAATCGAATATTTAAAACTCCGGCCCTAGGACTGAGGAATTGCCTAGTTAGTAGTAGCCCCATCCCATCTCGAGAAGAAAAAAAAAAAATCAATATTCCTCCCCTCTTCGTCCCCTCCCCCTCCGGATCCGCCCCGACCAGATAACCCTTTCCAAACTCCGCGGTGCTGTGCCCGTGGGCTCCGCAGCCGCGCTCCGCCGGGCGCGGCGGCGGCGGCGGCGGCGGCTCCGGGAGCGCTTCCCCCTCTTCCTTCCCTCTCGGGGTCCCTCGTCCGATCTCCTCGCCCCTCCCCCTCCGCTCGCTCTCCACCCCGCCCCCCAGCCCACTCTAATTGAGGCGCTGGGATTCCTCACGTGAGACGTTGATTTGTAGTTTGAACACGTGGCTCATTCAAAAAGCCGGACACTCGGAGCGGATTTTTTCCGCCTCCTGCGCCTTCCTCCCTCCACCCCATCTCCCCTCCCTCCTGCCAGTCACCCTTGTGGGTTTTTTTTTATGGGGAGGCGGTGCCTGCCCTCACGTAGTGTGATATTTTCACAGTCCGCTGGCCGATGCCAAAGGGGTTGGGGAGGAAGAGACAAAAAGTAGTTTTCCCCCCTCCTCCTCCCCCTCTTCTCCTTTTTCTCGCTAATCCCGCCTCCTTCTCCGAGTTAGGAAGACTCGTTGATGCGTTTGGGTTGTAGGAAGGCTTTTTCTTTTCCCTTTTTTTTTTTTAATAGCCAGAAAGGGAAAAACAACCCTCGGATCTGATTTTTTTTCTCTCCTCGTTCCTGTCCTTGGTTCTTACTGTGTTTGTGTATTTTAACGGCGAGAAGACAAGGGGGACAAAACCGCCGGATCCATCCATCCCTGGGGGTGGTTTTAATTTTTCGTTTTTCTCATAATTTTAAAAACAACCACTCTTCACAATGAACAAACTGTATATCGGAAATCTCAGCGAGAACGTCGTGCCCTCGGACCTGGAAAGTATCTTCAAGGACGCCAAGATCCCCGTGTCTGGACCCTTCCTGGTGAAGACTGGCTACGCGTTCGTGGACTGTCCGGACGAGGGCTGGGCCCTCAAGGCCATCGAGGCGCTTTCAGGTGGGCCCCGGCCTGGCCCCGCCGGGCGCCTGCCCCAGCCCTGCGCCTCCGCCCGCCCGGGCCTGCCGGGGTCGGGGGCCCGGAGCCAGGCCTGCGGCTGCGGCCGCTCGTCCGCACAGGGCCCCAGGCCCGGCCGAGGGCGGGGAGAGGGGCCGAGGCCCGGGCGCCCACACACGCGTGGGGTCCCGGCTGCTTTCTCAGCTTGGACTCCGGCCCGGGACCCCGCCGCTCTCCTCCCCCCGCTGGAGCTTTGCGGGCTCAGGGTGGACGCGCTGTCAAGAATGCCCGGGCAAGGGCTCGGAGGGGCAGCGGGGCCGGGGGAGGGGCGCCTCCGGCGCTGGACCCACGGCGCTCGCCCCGCGCCCCGCCCGGGCCCAGGCGCGTGCCCAGGCTCCCCGCACGCCGGGCCTCGGCGCCGAGCGCGAACGCCTGCTCCTCCCGCCGTCCTTCCTCTGCTCGACTCGTTACTTAACGGTGCTGGACTCGCTGACCACGCTCCCACCCCGGGCCCGGCGGTGGGAGAACGTGCAGAGTGAGGCCGCGGGCTGGTGCCTTGCACCGGCGGCCCCGCGTAGCCTCTCGACCCTGCGGGAAGCGGGCAATCGCGACCCGGGTTCCAAGTTCCACCTCCCCCGCGTCCTCGGAGCCAGAGGGGCAGGTGGGTGGGGACCGTGGGTGGTCGCTAGGGAGGGACCCGCCGCTCTCCGCGCCCGGCCTTGGGCTGCGGCCGCCGGGGATGGCGGGGCGCGCTCGGCGAGGACGGGGAACGCCCCAAGGGAAGGCTGCTCTCCGGTCCCTTCGGGAGCCCGCGCCTGTCGGTGTGGCGGGCGCCGCACCGTCCTTCGCCCGTAGTCCCTTCCGTGCTGAGACGTACCGCCGGCGTTTTCTCTTTCTGCGCCCACCCTGCTGCCCTCGCGCCTTTCCCGCCACTCCCTGTTGCCCACGGGCCTGGGCTTGCACACCGGAGAGGGGCTCGTGCGCCCCCTCCCCCAAGTTGGCCTCTGGAGAGTGTCGGGAGAGGTGCGTGGAGGGGTCTCGTCGCTTCGGCGACGGTCTCGGGGTTAGGTGGCCCCCTGAGGTGGGCGGAAGAGCCCGAGGGTCGGGAGGAAGAATGTGACCGAGGTGGTGGGACAGCCAGTTGGCTGGGTGGTGGGACTGCCCTCCCCACCGGTCTGCAAGTTACACCAACCCCGAGGGGTTGGCTTCCTCCCTCGCGCGCGGCGCCGCGCTTCCCCCTCGGCCTGGAGTCGCCTCCGGGGGCCGTTGTGGCTCTCGGAGAGCCCCTTGTGTCGCCGCTTAGGCCGTGCGGGTCCTTCGGGCCTGGAGAGCCGCTAAACACTGCCAACTGTCTTCCACTCCTTGTGTCCGCAGGTAAAGTAGAACTGCACGGGAAACTCGTAGAAGTTGAGCACTCGGTCCCCAAAAGGCAAAGGTGAGCTTATTTACCGTGTTCTCCTAGATTCCGTGCTTGGCCCGCTGTTGGGAGGAAAGGCTGTCAACACAGCTGAAAACAACTTTTCCTCCTAGTGCTTTTTGGGGCTGCTTGCTGTGTGGCTTGGCCGCGTCTTTTTCTCTCGCGTTTAAGTGCGTGGCAGGTGTGTGTGCGTGGGTAATGCTGAGAAGACCAGAGGGCTTGTTGGTGGGTCCTTGACGCTCAATTAGTGTCATCGGCGTGGAAATCTCTCAGGGGAGCTCTCACAACTCAATATTCTCCGGCAGAGTAGGTCAAGTCGCCACATCAGGAAATCAGTCTCCGAGGGCAGGTTTGGGGAATCTGCAGGACTTAGGAAGCAAAGGGCGACCCCCCCACCCCCCATCCTACTTGTAAGGACAGGATAGGTGAAAGCAGCCGCGGACACGGGCGAGCGTGGCCTGCCTTTCCTTGAGAGGCCTAGGAGCCGCCTGCAAGTCTGAGAGGAGAGAAGTGGCCTTTCCCGTGTTAGCTGGCCAGCCAGGGTCGGAGCACGTGAGTGAAGGCCTGGCCTTTTCCTGTCCAGAATCGCCTTTCCGTCACTCCAGAGGTGCGCAGATTTCTGCAAACCCGCCTTTGTCTCCTGCTTCTTTCCCCCCACCCTTTTAAAACTATTTCTGCTTACAAGTAACCACCAGGAGATGGTGAAGGCTCAAGATCTGGGCCACTGCAGCCAAGGGACTGCCCTTTTTGGAGGCCATGTGTGGTGTGTCACTTTGTAGGACCGTTTGGAGGCTGTACTTCTAACCTATGGAGTGTTCTGGAGAAATGGCTCCTTTCTCCAAATCCGGCCAAGATCCCGGCTCCATACATAACCCTGGCTGGAAAGGTGCTGCTCCTCCCCAGTGGTGCTGGGGCTGGCCTGTTAGGCTTTTCTGGGTTTTGCAAGGTGGTGTTAGGGCTTCTGCCTCTTCCCCCTCCCATCTTCCCACTCCCAGCCTCGGCCAAGTAATAACCTGGAAGTTAACTTAAACTGGGGCTGTTTGCGTCTGGTTAGGCATTGGTGACAGAGTGGGTGCTGGAGGCCAGGAGGGGTTCGCTCTGTCTTTCCGTCACTGTGCAGAGAGAGGGATGGCTACACAAAATGTCCTTGCTTGCCTAGGTCTAGGTTGAGTTCTCATCCAGGTAAAGCATTTTCACAAACTGTGTTTTTGTTAGCAAGTTGGTTTGGATCTTTGTGGCTTTCTCTTGTTTATGTGCTTAATGTTCATTAGGATATTTGGAAAGAGATATTTGTGACCAGATAGATTTAGTTCTAGTTGGGAATTTCTGTAGGTGGTCAAATAATTGTATATAGTAGAATGGAATTTTTAAAAATAAGTTGGCTAATGTAAAAGAATGTACTGAAAAGTATCTAAATTGATCTCAGTTTAATAGGCATTAAAAGATTGAGGATGAAGTTGTATCTCCTTAAAAAGAAGTTTAAAGGCATAGTCTGAATTGTTTCCCCGGGGGAGGGGGTGGGGGGGATGTAAGCACATTCTGCAAATTCTGAATGGTTTCATGTTTAGCCACTGTGTCTCAATTTCCTTCAAATATTGAATTAGAAAATAAGCAACTGATTGTGTTGAAGGACTGGCATTTTAACATTTGAGAGTTTCTAAATTTAAAAATTAAATGTCTTTTGCTTCTCAGATATAACTCATTGACCTGCATGCAAATGCAGATGACTTTCCGGCTTGGTGTTAGTTTCTCCCCATGTGTAGGGAGTTGAATTTAAAGGATCTGGCAAGGACTCCCTGTTTTATTCTTAAAGACTTTTGCTCAACCTAAAAACATAACTCAGTTACTTGTTACTTTGTAATAGCAGGTTCCTCTTTATAGGAAAGCACATAAGGTAAAATGTTACCAGTGGAAGCAAGGATTTATCAATGGAAGCCTCTTCAGTTTATTAACAATGTAGATTAAATTAAAATGCTTAGGACTTTAAATGATACTGTCTTACTAGCAAAATAAATAGGAGTACACTGGAGACAACTTTTTACTGATTTAGAGAATTATCAAGTAACTCCTTTGCTTGTATTAAAGTGGCTAAAAACAAAAGTGGAGCTTTCTTTTCTGGAATTTTCTTAGAGAAATTTTCTGGAAATCCTCATTACAATTTTGTTTGAACTGAACCTTGGAGCTGTGACACAGTTTCCCGTATCTGAATGCGTCCACTGTCTGAATGGGCTTTGGGATCGGACAGAGAAGGGGTCCCGGTGATCCATGCGCCCAGCACCTATATAGGATGGTCAAGGGGTGGAACTGGTGACAGAGAGTTGAACGCCCCAGACCAGTCCTTGCCGAGTGAGCCTGCTGGACTTTGGGGTGGAGTTCTTTGTGCTTAGCAGTCATGGCATACCCATCCCATCATCCTGTAGGCATCTGAGGCAGGCACACCCACACGTGCAGCGATGACCTTTATACCTGCTGTGCAAGGCATGTTGGGAGCCCTGTGCTGAAGAATGCTTATGGCAGCACTCTGAGATGGATGAATGGGCTTGCGGCGACTGAACAGGGGAGCAGGCCTGGGAAGTGATTTGATGCTTGGCAGCCTGGCCCAACTCTGACTAGGGGCAGGGTTGGGCGGGGACCCTTTCAGGAAGGGGTATTGTTGAATTTGGTTCAGACCAAGCTTAGCTCCTGATTACCAAAGTCTCAAGGGAATGTGGAAGGAATGTTGCTTTTCTGCATTCAGATACCCCTCCATTGGGGAAGTTTATAGCAGCACTTCGCAGAGCTGGAGGTCCCCTGCATCCAGAGTAGAGGGAGGATTGCTCTGAATATTGGCGATAGGGTAGCACTCTATTCCAAATGTAAAAGCCACAGCACGAAGATGTGGCTTCACTCTGAGGCATAAGCTTAACCTTCCCTTCCACTTGGGGGTTAAGTTTAAGTTAAGGGCGGGTGCAGAGATTATTGTGACTTTGGAAGACTGTAGCTGAGTCTGGTTGGGAAGAGTCCCTGGTATCTTGGTGGGACCTTGTATGTGCCCCTCCGTGATTATGTAAATACCACTGATATTTTTGTTGTTATGTTGTGGGCTGTTGGGCATGGGAGAGAGACCAGGAAAGTCGCTGACACTGGGGAACTGAGAGGATGGTGGTTTTACTTCACTTTCCATTACTTTTTTAAATTATGAAAATCTTTTATATTTTCAGTTTTTTTTATAGCTTCAACTTCCTCATGGTTTGGCTGTTAGGATAGATTGATTAGGATATGTAGCCAAATATATATTTGATTATAGGAGAAAAATAGGATATTACAGTTAATATTTTTTTCAGGAAGGGTTTATTAAAATAGACTGAGGTGCCTAAGCTCAAATGCCTTTTTTGTTTTGTTTCTTTATTTAAAAATGTTAAATGAACAACTCACTTCCATATTAGAATCTTATGTTTAACATGTAAATTGGACTCAGCATGTATAAAAACTTACCAGGGAGGGCTTTCAGTGTATCTTATTTGAAAAGGCTATTTAAACGCGAGTGCTGCATTTTAATAGCTAAGTATAGAATCGGCAGGTCCCAGGACCAGCTGTGTGCCCATTAGCCAGGGCACAGGACCCTGTTGTCTCAGGGCAACAAAAGCTGTCTTTAATGCTGACCATTTAAACACAGGTATGGATACCTGTGGGGGCGGCTCCTTGCTTATCAGCCTGGTGGTCCAGGTGAACCTTGTGCATTAGGGAGATTTCTCACACACGGGGAGATGTGACATGCTGCATGTTAGGAAGCTTGTGTGGCCAGTAAAGAATCAGAAGCAGGGTCATCTTCGGAGCGATCAGTTTCAGATCAGTAATGTGCCACTGCTTAAGTGATTGTGGCCAGGGAGATTTTTTTTTTTTTTTTTTTGCTTTCATACTGTTTTCTCAATATAGTTTGAAAGAGTTGCAAAGATTTCTTACTTTGCCCATATTAGAATTTAAACAGAATATAAGTGTGAAGTGCTTGTGTGTGGCTGTGCGCAGTAACGAGGAGGATGTGAGGGAAACCTGACATGTGCCTGGAGCCGGTGGGAATCGAGAATCTTGGCTTGTGTTTCTGGCTTTCCCTTTGACTTGTGTGATCTGTTCCTGCCAACTGCCATTATAGTAAACTAACAAGGGGCGTATTTTGTTCTGATTTGCCATTCTGCATGAAATAAATGAGTTACCAGCTAAGGCTTAAAAATATCTATTGGAATTACAGAGATCTGGGCTTTCCCCTCTGTAGTAAGAAACTTGACTTGCATTTCTTTTCTGTAGTTTGGAAGCTCAGTTGCTTTTGCACGTGTACCTCTTTCAGGCAGTCGGCAAGAGGGGGATGATCTTTGCCATACTTTGAAATTTTTTTATGAGCCACGCCACTGCAGTTAATGTGTTCTTACAGGTCTGGGATTTTGTGTGGAAGCAAAGCTGTTGAGCTACCTTGATATGTATTGAAAGCAACTTCATTGTAATTGTCTTTAACAGCATTAAGACAGCAGCTTTTCCAGCAGTAGCATTTTTGAAAGGTACGAATTATCCATTCAGTAACTGTGGTGGTTGATTTGGTCTAGGAGGAAGGAGACAGGCTGTGCTATTCTTAGCTGAGTTTCCTTTATCGACTCTTGCCTTTGATTCAAGAGGCAATAAGACAGGAGGTGGCAGTGTGGTAGCAGTGGCCAAGGGGTAGATTGGCACTTTTAGTGAGAATCTCTGCCCCATAAATCTGATGCTTAAAAGTTGGCTTGGACTGCCAGGGCTTTGCTTGAAAGCTGGTGGCAAACGTAGTTTTCAGTGCTCTATTAAAATGAGGGTGTAATTTCTCATGGTCTTAAATTGCTGTTTGGCAAGTGTTCAGTATTGGTAAATAAACACAGTTATAAATTTTAATATACTATGTGGATTTTGTTGCCCTGAAGGGGAACACGTAGTACATAAATTATATATTTTAGAAAATTATCCTGAGACCATTTAACTTGATTAGGAAACCGTTTGAAATTATGTTACAACTATTCTTG